GGTTATGTTTTTCTATTAGTTTTCGGATTCCAAGAATAGAAAATTTACATTGTGACGTATGTGAATTGACAAAACACAAATGTGCTGTTCTTTTATCCAGTAATAAAAGAAGCAATTTTCTTTTTAATTTGGTTCATAGTAATATTAGGAAAACTTAAATATTCCTAATATTTTTCGGGCCCAATAGTTGTTTCTTTTATTGAAGATTGCACTAGACTAACCTAGTTTTTCTTACTAAAATTCGAATATAAAATTAGTTATATTATTCCTTAATTTTACAACATGATCAAAACCCAGTTTGGTGTAAAAATAAAATGTTTTCAAACCGATAATGTTCATGACTACTTTAACCAAACACTATCTCCTCCTTTTGAAAGAAAGGAATTGTTCATGAGTCATGTCTCTGAACGACACAACCAAATAGAGTAACTAAAAGGAAAAATAGCCACTTGCTTACCACTACATGTACATTCTTATTCCAAAACAATATATCCAAACACTACTCGGGGAAACTATGTTAACCGTTACTTATCTTATTAATCAATTACTATCTACGAGTACTACTTTTACAATCCCATAGAAGTTCTAGCTGTATTCTTCCTTGAGGTTAGAATCAGCAATAACCTCATCCTTCGTGTATTTGGGATGTTGCCACGTTAACATACATCAGTCTCAAAGAGGAAAATTTAATCCCAAGGTCATCAAGTGTGTCTTTTGCAAGACACTCACTAACACAAAGAGATACAATTGTTACTGTCTATCTACTTAAAAGTTTTATCTGCTGATGTTGTTTTTGTTAAGATTGAGTCCATTTTTCGCCATCCTTATCTTCAGGGGGAGACTATACTTGAAAACAAGGAGGATTGTTCTTTGACATTCCACCTTCACCCGTAAACACTACACTCTCTAAAACAATTGTTCCACCAGAAAATCAGACTCCAGGAAATGAGCCTTAATCTCGGGTAATACAAGATGGGTCTGAACCTCAACCCATACAAGACCCGGGTTAATCCCAAGTGTGTTCGAGAAGGAGAAGTTGGGACTCTAATCCAAAGCAGGTCCAGGACTTAAACCGGGCATTGGAAATCAGGTACGCGCTAAGAATCACGTTCTTTCTGATATTGATATCTCTGTTGCACTAAGAAAGAGACACTACCCAACCTCAAATTTGTCTTTTCTGAAAAATATTCACTATTGTATAAAAATTTTCTATGAGAAATAGAAAAATGTTGTGTGTTTAAAAGCAAACTCTTCAAAAGAATCAAACATGAGAATTAGTGAACTTAGCTAAAGGGAAAGAGATTAGTTGGGTGCAACTGGATCTTCACTATAAAGTAAGTATAAGCCTAATGGAAACATACAGAGATTCAAGGCAAGACTGGTGGCTAAAAGGTAATGTTAGACCTACGGGATTGACTATTAAGTTGCACCCGTTGTGAAGATGAATACGGTACCTATCTTATTGTTTTAACAACTAATTTCAATTGGAAATTGCAGCACTTTGATATACAGAATGTATTTCTACAATGGGAATTGGAAGAAGGAATTTACATGGAAATTTTCCCCGGGTTTGCTAAGGGAGTGGGAACAAGTAAAGTATGCAGACAGGAAAAACCACTGTATGGGATAAAACAAGTCCTTCGAGCATGATTTGGGAGATTTATAAAGATTATATTATTCATGAGGCACAAATAGAGTCAGAGAGATCACACCATGTCTGTTAAGCACTTAGGTCAATGGAGTCACAGCTGTCTTGGTATATGTAGATGATATAATTGTTATAACGAATGATGAAGGACAAAAGATGGTCCTCAAGTAATGTCTGGCTAAAGAGTTTGAGAATAAAGACTTGGAAAATTTAAAATATTTCACAAGATAGAGGTGGTCCACTCAAAATCTGGAATATTCATCTCACAATAAAAATGTTATAGACCTTTTGAAGGAAACTAGTAAACTAGCATGCAAGCCAGTTAGCACACCCATGATCCCAATTATAAATTGGGACTGGCAAAAAAAAGACTCAAATGTGGACAGGAAAATGTACCAAAAATAGTGAGAAAATTGATGTACCTATTGCATACCAAGCCAAACATTGGATATTCAGTAAGTGTGATAAGTCAATTCATGCACAAGCAAAGAAATGCACTTACAAGCTACCCATATAATACTTCACTACTTGAAGGGTACTTTTGTAGAAGGGAATTATGTTCAAATGAAATAATGAGCTGCTTCTTAAAGCATATAATGATATGGACTATGTAGGATCACTAGAGGACAAGAGATTCATTTCTGAATGCTATACTTCTCTCATAGTGAGTCTAGTGACTTAGAAAAGAAAGAAGCAAAAAGTGGTGGCTTGAACTAGCACAGAGTCAGAATTTAAGGCTATGGCTCAAGGGATGTGTGAACTTCTATATTTGGAGACGATTTTAGAATATTTAAAGATTTAGTGGGATTGTGTCAAAAAAACAGATCAACAGTGAGCCGAATCAATTGCTTTGGAAGCTAAACCAGAATGGTGAATTTTCTGTGAGATCTGTTTACAAGCATATAGTTGGGGAGGAACGGGTCAACACATCTAATTTCCCATTCCCTCAAATCTGGAAATTGAAAGTGCCGCCCAGAATTGTCTTTTTTTTTTTTGCATGGGAGGCTAGCAAATAAAGTATTCTGACTATAGACAAACTTATGGCCAGGGGCCAGATATTGGTTAATGGCTGCTATCTTTGCATGAGTGCGGCAAAATCATGCAATCATTTGCTCCTTTGGTGCCCTGCTGTTTATGACTTATGGTGCATGATCTATGGTTTATTAAGACTCAAATGGGTGGCTGCAGGCTCAGTAAAAGATGAGATCTGGACATGGGATGGTGTAGGTTTTAAAAAAAAAATTATTAAATTAATTCATTTGACCATTTTTTGGGTTATTTAGAAAGAAAGAAATTCAAGAACTTTTGAGCGAATAGAGGTAAGAAAATATAAATTGAGAGATAGATGGTTCAATTATTTTGGATCTTTTGTGTTGGGGCATAACATTGTTAGAGATGAGGATTTTGGGAATTTTATTAATATCCTAACAACCTTGTAAATCTCTTGTCCGCTATTAGTACCCTATTAATAAACATTTCACACATTTTATTTTAAAAAAAGAAGATTAAGTAGAATTGACTTATAAGATTTTATTGCGACAATAAGTCAACAATTAATATCGCTCATGATCCTGTATAATATGATAGAATTAAGCATATTAAAGTAAACAAAACTTCACCAAAATAGATAATGGTTTGGTATGCACTTCCTACGTGTTCACTAATTTTCAACTTGTTAATATATTGACTAAAGGATCAAAAATCATATATTGCAGATGATTATTGACAACCTGGGAGCAGATAATATCTTTTCACCAACTTGGAGAAAAATGTTTAGAGTTCCATTAGGGTAAAAATAATATTAGAAATATACTCCGATCTTTATGATTTTTGTAATTAATATTGCTTCTTTGTATTGTTACTATTCACTTGTACATATATGACCCTGTAAATGAAATATACAACAATCCATTCTTCCACAATCTCGATCAAAATTCCAAGTCTACCCCTATTTGGACCTAATATTTAGCATTTACCATATTTTGTACCCATACTCCATACTACAATCAAGATGGATCACATTTCAGATTGTGTTCAACTATTGCTGGATGATACTATACATATAGACATCACCATACAATTAAAAAAAAAAACCCTCCAATTGTCAACCATAGTTTTTATTAGAATGCAGACCTACTTTTGCATTCATTAAAAAACAACATAAGTATTTAAGACGTTAGTAGTGATCAATTAAATTGAATACCTGCGACGCTCAAGGTCATCTGTGGAGGCTCCAAATGCAGGTATAACTTCTAGGAGTGCATTTAGAAAATCATTCATGGTAACTTTAATATTCTCTTCATCAACTGGCTTGGTTAGGTCATCCATGCTTAGTTGTCTGTTCAAAGCGAAAGATACCGCGCTTTTGACAACACCTTCTAGTTCAGCACCACTGTAGTTTTTTGTACGAGCAGCTGCAAGAAAGAAGTGATTAAGATTATAATTCTAAGGCCATTTCAGATAAATTGTTAAACTTCATATCATTGAAAATTAATGATTTAGCACCAGTATTTCAATTTTTATATATTTTCATAGAAGAAATAGTCTAACGACAACTAAGTGCAACTTTTTTAAATAACAACATCTTCAAACACTCATTCCTGTTCCCACTTTCCAGCAACCAATGATTATGTCAAGACCGATAATAGCGCAAGTAAAAATGGGAAATGATTGCAAAGTTAGTTAGGAGGAAGAATAAGTTAATAGTAGGAATATTCTACCCTTTTCAGATTGTTTTGTGCTTTCTGAATTTTGTGCCTGCTGGAGGGTTGTATAAGGTATAATTATAGGCTGAAATGTAGCTATCCTAACAGAATGAACCTCAGTTATTCCTTACATACCTGCGCCTATAACAGAGAAAGGCATAAGATAATATCCAGGCAAATTCTATTCTCCATATCATTCTTCTGTTCTCTCCCTTTCTCTCCCTTTTCTTCTGCAAACTTCGTCTCCTAATTTTCTCCTATTCTCTCTTCCCTCTCGATTACCACACCCAGGCCGTATTGGCCAACTCATGAATCATAAGTCTGACAACTTGGCATAAAAGCCTACGGAACTTGGTGAAATATCCTCTTCAGCAGGGAAGCTGGCGAAGAACAAAGGGAAGGCAGTGAGGAAATAGCACATATGGAAGAGTCCATTAAAAACCTGGACCAAGAAATACAGGATTTTATGTCTAATATACAATGCTTCACTCAAAACTGGCTAAGAACAGTGATCAGCTACAAAACCTGCTGTGCAAACCATGGAGCTCTTCAAGCATAAATCCACAACCCACTACTATGTCCTCGAACCCCTTCCAACCTCACCCCAAATGCTAGCCTCCAACTGTCCTACACCCTCTAAAGGTTCCCACTCCAGAGGGGAAGGAAACCGGAAGGTCCAGCCACACAACTGCATGATGTAGGACAAATAAGATTGATTTTGTCCAAAGGAATTTAGGGATATGAGCTTAGGTACCACATCTTGGGTTTCATAGACATCGCATCTAAGAAATCTTAAGCATCACATTAAGAATTTGATCGAATCACATAACTAAAAAAAGAGAAACTCTGAAAATATATTCTTAAATACTTGAATGACCAATAAGTAACAAAACTATTTATAATAATCTCTAAGTTACTTTTCCTAATTAGATTTATATTAGAAAATAGTAAACTAGTAGAATTAAGAATACAAATCCTAATACAAATATGAAACACTAATAAAATAAACTTCTAACTCTAATAAAACTCTTAAATAATAAACTGAAAAGTAATCTAATAATAAACATATTACTATTACGGCTATGTGCCATCACTCCACCATTGGGTATGACTATGGGGTATAACACGCCTTCTGTTTTGAGGGAAATAATTCACGAGCATGGTTGCACCATTGTAACAAAGACTTCCAGATACCAAAGGATCAATTACTACCATATTATTGGGAGACAAACCAGACACTTGATATGAAGGTTAGCAAGCTCAACAAGGGGATCACATGGATTGTTTAGTCTTTGAAGAAGAGATATACAGGAGGTATATTGATCCCACCATTGCTGATGTTGTTGAGAATTCAACAAACTCAAGCTAGAGGGCCTATCACCAAGCACCAAGAAAAATTTGAAGAGCTATGATCACTTATGTTGAAGGTAAATCCTACTTCGACCGAAGCTTCATTTACTTTTTCATTAGTGAGTTCAAAGAGAGGATATGAGATCAA